AATGCTGAGCATGAGGACTTAGTCAAATAAATTTTTTTATAATTAAGTTGGTTGCTTGCTTGCTTGATGGATGAGTTATATGTTTAAAGCTTGTTATTTGAGTTGTTTTATGGTTAAATGATGATGAATAAGTTATACAGATGTTGTTGTATGATAAGGAACTTTATATGTTGAATGTTGATAAGTGGTATGTTTGGTAATTGTATTGTGAGTTGCTAGTTGAAAGTTGAGTCGAGTAATATGTTATAAAGTTGTGTAGCAATGTTGGGATTCTATATGAATAATGTTGATGTGTCATTGAAATGTATGATGAGTAAGAAATTGAATATAAGTAGTAATGATTAAGTTGTGAGATGTGGAGTTGTATGATTTCTTTGTTATGTTTAATAAGTAAAAATTTGTTGTGTTGTTAAGTTGTGATGACCACTTAGGATAAAAGGAGATATTTTCAAAAGTTGCATATCTCATTTTGTGGATATTGTATTGTGGTGCTTCGAGAGCCCAATTTGTTGAAAATTCTTCTTTGAAAGTTGACCCTTAAAGTGGATGTTGTGTTGTTTATCCTCTACAACTTTGTTAGTACTGTGTGTGAGTAAGGTCGAGGTACACGTGTATAAAGCAATCATAGTATAAGGGTTAGGTCAAGTTATACTAATTACAAATGCCAACCAAATAAAGTATGAAGTCAAGAACTTAGTTCCTAACCGAGTATCAGAAAGTTGTAGTATTTGGAGGATAGTTGTGGGCTAATCTTGTAGGAGGCTTGGTTAAGCTAGCTAATGTCGTGATAGGCTCGTACCCAACTATTTTATCCTGATAATAGTGATACACTTTATTGTTTAAATGGCAACATTCGAGAAACTAAGTTGATGTGTTGTGGATTTATATCCAATTTGTTGTTGATCTAGCAAGCCCAAAAAGATCACCTTGTGTTGTCGGTTCGATAAGATCAAACCACTTAAACTACTTACCTTATGTTGTGGGAAATCTCTTAGTCGAAATGCATGATGACGCATATAGTTGTTGTGTTAAGCATATGATGTGTTGAGTTGATTAAATTGTTCCTATGTTGTGTTGAACTGTGATGAAATGTATTGTTGTGTTGAATTAGAGTTAGATTATGTTGATTTGTATTGTATACTATGATGCTTTGTTGTTGTGTTGTCAGAGATGAGATGATGATGTGATGTTCCTATATTGTGTGTGTGTATATATATATGTGTGTGTGTGTGTGTGTTGTTTCTTATCCTAGCTTACCCTTGTGTGTTTTCATGTAGTTTGAACTGCAATGGTCATACGTGGTATGATAACAGAGTAAGGAAAGGGCTAAAGTGTTGTAGTGGATGCCATACAGTGGCACTAAAGCTAAATGTTTTGATGACTACCTATTGGTGGTAAATTTGTATAAATAGTTGTAGTTGCTTAGTTACAACTTAGTTGTATATTTACATTTATAGGATTATAGAAGTAGTTGTTTCATCCTTATATGGATGCGATATAGTATATATTCTAGTATCTATAAATATATGATCTTTAGTTAGTTGTATTTTTTTGCTCTAGTAATTATACCATTTAGTATAAGGATCATGATGAATTGTTACATCATGAAAAAAAATAGAATTTACTTTTATTTTATGATTATTATTATTAGTAGTATAAAGACATTACACAATTTAAAATTATTTTGATTTGGTTTATATTCTTTTATTTTTGCTAAAATTTTATTTTATTATTTTACTAACTAGTGTTTTTTTTTAAATTATTTTTGCATAGGAGAAACTATATTCGAACATTAATGCTCACATGTCTACAGCCCTTTAAATAAACCCAAATATAACAAAAGTCCAATCTTAGCCCGAGCTATTGAAAAGAAGAAGGCAGATGATAAACACACCTTCACCCTAATATAAGCACACCTCCTTTTTTAAAAAATATATATAAAATATCTAAATTACCCTTAAAAAAAATAAAATTTCTAAATTTACACCCTCTTTCTCCACACCTCTGGTACCTCGCATCCCCCTTCCCCGCACTCCACACTCCCCTTCCCCGCACCCCAAATTCACAGAAACCTCTTCTTTGATCAAATTCACAACCACAACACCAATTTTGACACTCTCACTGGCCACAAATTGGGCGTAGGGGAACAATAGGAATCCGAACGCCGTGATGACCGTCACGAAAATCACAACGTCGGCCACCACTGATCGGGAGGGGGTACAGTAAGATTCGAGCAAGATGGAACCGAAATCCTTTGTATTGGCTTTGGGCCATAAATGCGGTAGAGAAGGGTTGCGCCCGAACCTTCAGCATGCGCAAACCTGTTTGCACGCCTCTTGCGGAACGAGATCAAACTGAAACTATTAATAATTGCGGATGGAAATGGCATGGAAGCGAACGAACTAGGAAAGCAGCATGGAAAGCGAGGCTCGTAGCACCCCCATTCATCTTCGGTTAGGCGGTAAGGGACGAGACTCTTATCCCCCGACAAAGGTGCTTCCATTCCCTACGTATGCCGCTACATGCCTTCGCCGCATCCTCTCATGCCCGGTCCAGAACGTCACATCTTACCATGATTGGTGGGAACGCGGTTTCTCATGATAACAGGGGTTAAGCTGTCCACTCGGGGTGGAAGGTGCGTGCTGCTGAAACTTCTTAAGGATATGTTGTGCCGCGGAGCCTGGAGGGAATTGGGGGTTTTCCGGTGCCTCGATTTCGAGCCGAAATCGCCATGGGTTGGTCAACGGAGGAGTTGCAGAGAGAGATTGAGCTATGGAAATAGACCATTTCAATCACAAACCCAGAAACCCCCAAATTGAATCAATCCCAGATCAGAAACCACGTATATAACAACGATTAAAAAAAATGGGGGGTGCGAGAATTGAAATGGGTTTGGGTTAGGTGGGGTGTGGGGCACGGGGAAGGGGGGTGCGGGGTACCGGGGGTGCGGGGAAAGGGGTGTAAATTTAGAAATTTCATTTTTTTAAGGATAATTTAGACATTTTATATATTTTTTTAAAAAAGAGGGTGTACTTATACGAGGGTGGAGGTGTGTTTATCATCTGCCAAAGAAGAATGGTAGTAAAGCACGAAAAATGGGCTTGGACCACACGTTTAGTACATTGGTCCAACAAGGAGTATGATATGGATAAAACATAGGCCTTATATTGCCTCCGTCCCGTTCCAAACTCTACTACATTTTTTTTTCCTCCAAATTTTATTTTAATAATACCCTTATATTGGTATTTAGTTTCATTATTTCAAAAAAATTAGAAAGTCTAGAAACACACTTTTCATTACTTGAGAATCACAAAGACGCAAAATGGTATCAGATCATAGGGATCCTGAAGGGATTAACTTAGGTATTGAGCAATCAAAGTGGAAGTGTTTTTTTTAATCACCAAATCCACTTAGTGTGTGGAGGAGAAATTTTAGAAATTAATTTTTTTTTAATCTTTTTGTAAATTTCTTATTCAACAAAATATTTAACCCCAAATCATTTAAAATTATTCAAAAATTTGAATTAATCTATTAAAATCTCTCATCCAAACTTCTTCTAAGTTTTATAGGTTCTTGCTCACACATTGTAATATCAATTCTTTGTGGGTAAATTTTATATGTTAAAGAGTGATTAATGTGTACTACTATTTCTCCTAAATTTAGAGGTAAGAAAATTATGTTCCTTCTAACATAAGATTAGGTTCATACCAATAAAATGAGATTAAATCAATGACAACATGTCGAATACCAATCTAGGACTTGAGATAGTATACAACTTTTCAATCTTAAATACAAAGAGGCTTCACGAGTACATGAAAATATACCAACTATCGAATTAGGAGGGTATACGACCATTCACATAATTATCTTAACTCTAAACTTATATTTAATAAGATGTTTGGTTTTTCATCAACTCAAATAAAATCTACGTTCAATTTTCTCGTCCATACAAAAACTAGTATACATAACATAAATTTTCACGTTACTAATTCCTGTTTTTAGTTCTATGCTGAATCAAAGCACACACTAAAATAGTTCAAAAAGAACAAGCATCGGACAAAGTCCAATCAATATGCCTACAAATAATGCACTAGAAGTAACTAGTAGTTTGCATTCTTTAACCATATGACTGAAATTTGATTTTTTTGCTATACGAATACCATAACTAGTAATGGTTAGTGCCTTAGTGGAGTTATCAAGGTCTGTGGTAAAGGCCACCAAGAATCAACTGAAAATGTTGTGATGACATCGTGGCAAGCAGCAAAACCTGTGCCACTAACGTAAACACCCATCTATCGTCTATGTTAACTTTGAACCAACCCAAACAAATCACTATCGTAACGCACGTGGCCTATGTTACTTTCTTCGCTAACCATACCATGGAGCTCATTATGTTCCTTGTAATATATTCAAACCATTGTGCTGTCAAAATAAGAAAACATCCAAACCATCGTAAAATAACAGTTTACTTCTGTAACTTTTGTCATGTAGAATCAAATTTCAACTTGGTGATAATTTTTGTATATTCAAACTCAATACAATGTTTTTAAATAGCTTTAGTTATAAAAAGAATATTTTTCTTGTCTTTATTGATTATTTAGCAGCATACCCGATTTTAACTTTCTTAAAGTCAAGATCAAAAAGGGAAAATAGGTAGATTAGAAAAGGTTAATTTTTTTTAATTATTTTTAATAAATATGGATGTGCATTCCAATTGGATGGCTGAAAGTGGAAAAAGAAAAGAAAGACACGAACCGGTGAGTTGATAAGTGATAACTGATAACTGAGGCATTTTATATATTTTATTTATTTATTTTGGTGGGTAAAGGAAATGATAAAACGGAAAAGAAGAAAAGAAAAAATGTAAGTGGAAGAAGAGAAAGAGAAAGTGGCATGGATACAGACAGAAGCCGGTAAAACCCCCGACCCAAGTGCCTTCACGCCTTCTCTCTCTCTCTCTCTCTGCCGCGGAGGTTAGGGTTTGATTTATCCTTCTTTTTCTCTGCTTCACCTTCAATTTCTCGCTTCGTTTCGCACTTTGACTTCCTTTGACTTGTTATTTCTCACCTTCACACCGTTTTGCATACTCTGATTTCACTTTTTTAATTGCTCGCGTTCCTTGCAATTGCATCTTCTGGATTTTTTTTATTTTTATTTTTTAGTATTTCAGCTTTTAATTCGGGTGCGTCGGAATCTGTTATTGGTTGAAAATTTGGATCCTCCGTGAGTGGTGCACCGCTGGCTTCGACCGTGTCGGAGATCCGGCCATCGGGGCTTTTAATTATTTTGTACGGAAATGCGTTTCTCCTTTATTGTTCATTTAGGCCCTGTTTGCATAAAATTTTTAATAAGCACTTGGAAAGTAATAAAGCAAAATTAATTAAGGTTTTCCGTTAGTTAAATTTAGTGTATGTATAAGTTGAAAACACTGGGAGTGAGGGTTTTGGGTAGTTTGTATTTGATTAAGCAAGTGAGGACAAAGCTCTTTATTGATATTTAATTATCAATTAGGTCATGAACATATTTGGTTATTCTTCAGTTTTGCTCAACTTAATTGTGTCCAAATCTTTGAATTCCATAATGCCCACTTCTTTTTCCGTTATTTCCTTTTGTTGTACTCTTCACTCTTGGTTTTCCATTGTTATTCGGTTTTCATGTAGCACTGGAGTACTGGATTGTTAATGAAAAGGTTTGTCTGTAGAGTCATTGCTTGATTCGTATTATATTATGAGGTTGTTATGTCAGGTTGTCTCCCTTAATCTTGTTCATCTTAGATTTTCAAATTAAACACTTTCAATTTCCAGCTCAAAAACGCATGGTCAACTATCATTGACTAACAGTCAATCTAGGATAGTAATATTGGATGAAAGTCGAAGATAAGTTTCAGAACAATGCATTTGAAACTTGCTTTCCTGTCAAATGATATTCAGATTTAGGAGTGTAGTTTTCCTGTCTTGGAATTACTGCTTGAAGTGGACCTGGTCATATGGTTGTTTGTCATCATTATTTGTGTGATATTTATTCATGCATTGTGTGATCAGAACATTATAATCAACTAAGAATTCTTTCTATACATTCATTTTATCTTTTACCTATACTTTTCCCCCTTTTTTTTACCAGTACACTTTATTTTTTTTTATTGATTCCATGCAAGTTCTGAAATAAGAATAATGATTGATAACTTTGATATGTTATTGGGATAAGTTCAGTAACTTTAATTTTTCTTTTTTTGCATTTATTGCCGTGGTAACTGCTTACTACACTACTATCATGTTTCCATGAAAATTTTCAAATATAAAAGATTTATGATTGACAAAAAATCAGTATAAGTCCATGAATTTTTAAATGTTTCTATTTTTGTTGCTGTACTACATTACTACCATGTCTGTCATGCATTACCATGTCTGTCATGCATTTCCACTTATGCCATTATTTCCTTTTAAGGTTTCTGAAAACTTTTAAACTGTCCTTTTTTATACTTATATGGAAGTATTTAGATCATAAATGAAGAGCAATAGATTCCCCCCACTCCACCCCAATTTTATATAGTTGCTATTGTGTGCAAGTTTTATTCATTATTATATTGTAGACTTACTAAGTCTCATTCTTGTGTAGGTTTACTTTTGATCAAGGACCTGCTATCCCTATGTATAAGCATGGTAAGTATTTTAAACTTTGTGGCATATCCATTCTTGTTGGGTGTTGTTGATAGAGTAATTCCTTCCTACCCAATATTCTGCACCCCAAGAAAGAGGACAATGAAACAGATCTACCAACTATCCCAAGTTGCCAATATAAACTGTGATGAGTTTCTATGAATGCAGGACGTCTGTCATACTGTTGTTTGATTAACCAAGTATCATATTGGTTGAGGAAGCCTAGAGTCAATATTTAGTTTTTGCTACCATTTGTGGGTTTCTGATGGATGATGCTGGGCATCGTGAAAATGGAAGGCACAAAGCAGATCAATACAAATCTGCCCAGGGACAGGTATACAAAGATAAATTTATGCTCATGAATAATTCATTGCCAATTTACTATTCAGTTTTGCACAAACAAACAGTTGGTAATTGCAGCATTTACTCCCTGCTAAGATTGATGCTGGCTCTGATAATATTTGTCTTGATGTTGTGTTGCAGTGGTTGATGCAACATCAGCCATCTATGAAGCAGATTATGGCAATTATGGCTGAAAGAGATGCAGCCATTCAAGAAAGAAATTTGGCCATTTCTGAGAAAAAGGCTGCATATGCTGAGCGTGATGTGGCACTTCTACAGCGAGATGCTGCAATTGCAGAACGAAATAATGCAATTTTGGAACGAGATAATGCAATTGCAACTCTTCAGTATCGAGAAACCTCCTTATCTAGTGGCAGTATGCCATCATGCCCTCCAGGATGCCAAATTTCACGTGGTGTCAAGCATATACATCATCCCCAGCAACAGGTACACCATTTACCTAACATGGGTGATGCTTCTTACAACACACGGGAAATGCACCCAACTGATGCCCTCCCTGCTGCCCCCATCCCTTCTGAGGCTGGGAAATCAAGGCGGGCCAAGCGACCAAAGGAACCTAAGTCAACATCACCTAATAAGAAGACTTCAAAAGCAGCAAAGAAAGTCAAGAAGGAGAGCGAAGACTTGAATAAGGTTATGTTTGGCAAGGCACATGAGTGGAAGAGTGGTCAGGAAATGGTCAACGGAGGTGATGATCTTAACAAGCAGTTAGCTGTGTCAAAAGCTGATTGGAAAGGTCAGGATTTGGGGTTGAACCAAGTGTCTTATGACGAGTCAACTATGCCAGCGCCAGTGTGCTCTTGTACCAGTGTTCTGAGGCAGTGTTACAAATGGGGTAATGGGGGTTGGCAGTCTGCCTGTTGCACAACTACTCTGTCAATGTATCCACTTCCTGCAGTACCCAACAAGAGGCATGCCCGGGTAGGCGGTCGGAAGATGAGTGGGAGTGCTTTCAACAAACTGCTTAGTCGTCTTGCAGCAGAAGGTCATGATCTGTCAAACCCTGTTGACCTCAAGGACCATTGGGCCAAACATGGAACAAACCGATACATCACAATAAAGTAGACGATGATAAATTGTTTCTGGGGCAGCAGTACATGAATAGAAACAGCTTTTAGTGATCAATTGTGGATTCTCAAGTCGGCCGAAGAAAATAATGTTAAGTGTAAGGGTCCTCTGGAAAGGGTATGCCCTTATCTATATGCAGGATGTTGGCTAAATTAGGGGTTGAAGAAATGACTATATAATCATCGTTGTCATTTGTACCGCACTTAATCTGCTGAGATGGTCTGGTGGCACCAATGGCATGTATAAAAAGTCTGCATGATGGATAAGTATAGCTTTTAGATAGTCTTGGTTAATGCATGTAGTCCTTGAACCTGAATAATTGTAGACTCGTGTCCTTAGTCATCCTTGAACTCTCTACCTATGAGTTAATATGTAAAATCGACTATGTATGTTAATTTTTCTCCACGTTTCATGTTTGTTATTTTTCTTATACGCTGGAACCCTATCTATACTATAGTTTTTTTATATCGGTGATTGCTACAGGTAGTGGCGAACATGGAGATGGTTGGCGTCTTTTCTTTTCTGTGGGTAACTGAACTAAGCACTCAAGGGTTGATTAATGTCTTTCTCTGCATGGCATGTTGGTTCAAGAACGTCAGAAATAATGTTCTGCAGCTGTGGAGACTGGGTTTTTGTTCCCAAATTTTTCGCACATTTATTTAAGATTTTTGTATTTAAAAATATTAATTTTTATCAACTTTTGAGAAGAAACATTTCTTTTATCAACTTTGATGTTGCAATAGGTAGTATTTTTATATAATAAAATAGTTTTACTCTTAGGAGAAATATATTTTTTTTAATCATACTCTTTTTGTAATACAGCTTATAATTTTTTTTAAATCAATTGCTTTTAAACTCGGTTGTAGGGATAATAAATATACCCGTACTTGGTAATACCCGAACCCGTCCCGACTTTTATGGGGAATACCTAGTTTGACCGGGTATATGTACTAATACGAGTAAAATTTGATATATTAAATCGGGTACAGGTATGTATGTACTGTCCTGTACCCGTCCCTATTTTTATTCTCAATTTATTATCCACTCCTAATTTAATTATATTAAAAAAAATTAATATTTTATTATGTATGATTATTTATTATAATATAAGACAAAGAAACAACTTAATTATAATTGTAATATAATAAAAAAATTAAAAATATTGTTTTTTTTTTACAAAAAAAATAAAATAAAATTGACGGGTACGGGTACGGGTGTACTCGACGGGAATGAGGATGAGAATGAAAATTATATACTCGACGGGTACGGGTACGGGAACTGGGATGAGTTTGACTCGCGAGGATAGGAACGAGTATCATGAAACTCATACCCGCCCCGCCCGTTGCC